CCGTGCCCTCAAGACATGGCTTTTTCAGCAAGCGGGTCTGACCTAGGGTGAATTTTAAATAGGGACAATTTTAAGGATTTTATCAAGACACAGCGACAAATATTTGGTTTTTAATTGGCTTTTAGAGGGGAAATGTTTTATATTGTTTTAATATGCTGTGAGCCGCCCTGAGTCCCATGGGGAGAAGGGCGGCATATAAATTGAAATATAAATAAATAAATAAATAAACCCAAAACCCACTTATGTATTGCCGGGTGCCGGGTGGCCGTGGCCCGCTGGGTGGCCGTGGCCAGCTGGGTGTGGCTACGGTGATCATGGCAGATGGGTGGGCATGGCCAGGGTGGGTGTGGCCAGCTCAATGTTGCTCCTGGGGAGGGACGCCTGTGGGGGCCGGGCAGGGTTGGGGGAGATCCAGGGCGTCTCTGGTGGGTGGGGCGGTGGGCAGGAAGCTCGTCCTGTGGGGTGAGGTGAGGCAAGGCGAGGCAGGGCGGGGGTGCCATTGTCTCAGGGCAAGGCGAGGCAGGGGCTGGGGCAGCTGCTGCCTGACACCATCGCCCCCCCCACAGAGTCCAGCAAGCGCATGGGTACTGGGATGCATCCGGCCATGTGGACCTCAGCGAGTTAGCAGGCAGCTGGTTGAAGAGGATGGTTGCCATCTCCAGGGCATGGCGCGCGTGCCCACAGAGAGGGCTCTGAGTGCCGCCTCTGGCATGCGTGCCATAGGTTCGCCACCACTGTCTTAGACTAAACTACAAAATTCCTATTGAAGAAAAAGCCCAATTTAGGCAATTACAAAATTCCCAGCTGGTGCTAAATGTCTTCATACAGTCAAAGGCAGGGGTCTTCAAACTTGGCCCTTTTATGACTTGTGGACTTCAACTCCCAGAATTCCTCAGCCAGCATGCCTGGCTGAGGAATTCTGGGAGTTGAAGTCCACAAATCATAAAAGGGCCAAGTTTGAAGACCCCTGGTCAAAGGGCATCAAAGTTGAGGAAGGCTAGGGTTAACCCTGATAGAGAAAACAAGCCAGGATTGATTTGCCTGGGTTCGGGATTGAGTTTTATGCTAAGCCATGGTTCATTTATAAAACCATGGTTTGATAAACTGCAAACCTGGGTTCATACACATTAAGCCATAGTTTGGTTAGCTGTGATACCAAAAAGATAATAACTGACTGCTTTTCTACATCATGTTAAATAGTAAATTACAATTTTTCAAAATTCATACAACACACTAAATCAAGTGCTCAGAGACCAGATTATATTTTAGGGCAAAATATAATTAGCCTCTGGAATAACCCAGATAGAAACTGAATTCAAAATATAAATATAAACTTTGATCTCTTCTCAGCAGTGTGCTGGAGGCAGGAAGGAGAGAGGAAAACCTGCCATACTTGGTGTGAACTAACTTTCACACATGACTGAATTATTACCATAACCTAGAATATACCATCATGTTTTGTCTCTGTAATCGCAGACCAAGATCACTGGCGAAAAAAAGCAAGACAGCATTAATAGAAATGCATTTCCAAATGGCTAAGGTTGTCTAATGTTCCCTGTCTGCCTGAATGTTATTTGCTATTATTTGTAATTGGGCCTCTCTATGATTAATGGGAGGCAGTCTTTTGCAGAGAAAGAGGCTGTAACCTGAGCTAAATTGGGCCACACAACTGAGTGTTGTATGCTTGATTATGCATTTATTAGTGTCACCAGCAACACCCATGTTTCATGCTGCCAGGCATGATTAACAGTCAACACATGAGGCATTCATTACCAATTTTAAGGATTAAAAAATGTAAGAGTATTTACATTCCCAAAAATGCATATTAGTCTCCCAATTTTGTATCTGGTTTTGTTTTTGAGTGATGCGAATGGCTGAAAGTATCATTTAGAACAGGGGTGGGGGGAACTATGGCCCTTTTTTGATTTGTGGAGTTCAACTCCCAGAATTCCTGAGCTGGCCAGTCTGGTTCAGAAATTCTGGGAGTTGAAGTCCACAAGTCATAAAAGGGTCATAGTTCCCCACCTCTGATAGAATAACAAAATAGTAGATTTGAACAATACCAGATCAAAGTTTAGGACATGTGTAAAGAAGATTGGCTGGTTAGGAACCCTGGGTCTGAAAATTTTGTTTTTTAAAAATTGCCAGAATTTCTCTAATGGAGGCAGCAGGACTGTCTAACCCAGTGTTTCTCAACCTTGACAATTTTAAGGCATGTGGACTTCAACTCCCAGAATTCCACAGCCAGCAATGCTGGCTGTGGAATTCTGGGAGTTGAAGTCCACATGCCTTAAAATTGTCAAGGTTGAGAAACACTGGTCTAACCCACTTTTTAAATTAAATTTCATGACCTCCCTCCACCTTTAAATACACTTTCTTGCAAATAAACCATTTTGTGTGATTTTTGTAATTTTCCTCAAGTTCTATGAAATTTCACAAAGTGGTTCGAATCTGATGAAATTCTGGCAATGTTTTGAAAACAAAAATTGCTTCTTACATGGGAAGTAATTCACGTTCAGTGATCTCCTTCTCCAAAATTTAGTAACAATTGCTTCTGGAATTTCTAAAGAATTCCTTGCAAGACAACAAGCACAGGAAAAACAAGGCTCATTGTAGCATAATAATTAAGGTGGTGGACTTTGACCAAGAGACCAGCTGACATCTCCATTTGACTTTGTAGCTTTCTGGATGATTTTGGGGAGGTTATAGCCTTTCTGCCCAACTGATTTCACAAAGTTGTTGCTGGAGGATAAAAACTAGTGAAGGTGAAAGCTGACTTGAGTTAAGATAAATAGGTTATTCATCCATATTAGCAGTAGTGGGATTCAAATATGTGAACAACCGGTTCTCTGTGTGGATGCCGCTTCTGGAAGTCCATTCTGGGCCTGGGCAACAAAAAATTACCTACCGGTTCTGCCAAATTGGTGAGAACTGGCTGAATCCCACCACTGCATATTA